AATTCTATGACCAGTCATTCTTACTGTGGCACTTATGATCCGTGGTGACTTGGCTACTCTTTACCTTTCCAGCCTTCTTAGCTCTGCCCTACCCCATTAATTAACCCCAGTCATACTGAAGTCATTCCATCTTCTCTTCTACCCAGGTGCTCCCCATATTTCAGCTCTCAGTGACATATTTCTTCTCCTGAAGAGACCTATCTAACGTCTCTGAGTTCGTGAAAGTTGACCATCCTTTGGGCTCTGTAGACTTTGTTCTTATTCTCTTCCCACCCCATTCTGTAACTGTCTGTTTTTCTATCTCTATCTCCAATTGAAACTTCTTAGGGATAGTGATTTTCTTATTTACCATTACATCCCCAGGGCCTAGCATAGCTTTAGGCATATACTAAGTCAGTCCATAAAGCCAAGATCAGAAGGTATGATCATTTTTAAAATTCATTGTTACATTTTAGATGACAACGAAGCCCTTCTGTTATTCGTAGCCTAAATTTAGTTTTGCACATCCAGTCAACAAATGTTAGCCAAGATGCTTCGTCCATGGGGTTGTGTGGCCAGGCTTCTCATAGTGCTCATTAGGTAACAGGTCTTCAGTACATAAGTTCATAATGAACTAGTTAGTACAAAATTATTAATAGGCAGGTTTCCAAAGGCATTTAGTCAATGTCTTGCATGTAAATAACAATGATAGGGGACAGAATATGGAAAGAGCCATATGGGAAGAAGTTTGGTTAGTTTTCATTGGCTGAGATAAAAAACATGATTGCAAGGAGTGAGGACGTAAGTAAGCCCATGTAGTCATGGACTCCTGGGAAAGAGACACCAGAATTTGATCTAGCCTGTGGAAATACAAAATGGCTTGCCTTAGCTCAATAAGAAAAATATGCACCCTGCTGATTCATTAGGTGTTTGTGGCAATGCTCTTAAATATGACCAAGGAGACAAGAATTTAGATAAATACTGAAATGCTTTGTAGACAAGATACCACCGCTAGGAAGACAGAAGTCATGTATGGGAACAAAGCAAGGGTCTGCAACAAGATTATAGTTGTTTTGGTCTCCAGTTCCATGTGTTCTTGATGGACCATTTTCTTTTTCACCAGTCTCTTCCAGGATTATTATTTTTAAAGTTTACTTATTTATTTTGAGAGAGAGAGAAAGTGAGAGAGAGCACAAACCAGGAAGGGGCAGAGGGAGAGAGAAAGAGTGAATCCTTAGCAGGCTCCACGCACAGCATGAAGCCCAGTGCGAGGTTCTGTCTCTCACTGTGAGATCACGATCTGAGCCAATATCAAGAGTCAGAGGCTTAACTGACTCTTAGTCACTCAGGCACCCTCAGGATATTTAATGAACATTTATGGAGCACTCTCTTGCACATGGATTTAAGGGCCCACTGTAGAAAAAGCAGAGTGCAATGAATACACAGTTCAGGCCCTTGATCTCAGCAGCCTTGGTTTGAAATCCAGCTCCACTACCTAGTCACTGAATGATCTTAGGTCATTAACTGAACCTTGCCACTTTAGAGTTTCGTTAGATGTACAGTGGCATTGACAAAAATAATAGACTTATCTCATTAGATTGTTTGGAAACCTCAGTGGGTTCATGAATATCCAGTGGCCGGCTCATTGGAAGAACTCCACTAATGCTGGTTCTGGTTAGATCTATTATGTACTAGGTTCTATACAGTGAAAACGAAAGGTGTGGTTTCTGTGCTCATGCACCGTGCTCGTCACTTGCTTGTTTCTCTTTACTGTATGATTCATTCTTCAGCCTTCGTCTCTGCTCTGAAAGGGGCGTGACTCCTACAAATCCCATTTTCCAGGCTCCCTCGCCAATTGGCTTCCTGTTAAGTTTGGGCAACAGGACGTTGAGACAAGAGATTGAAATCGGAGGTGTGGGGTCAGTAGTCCCTCTCTGCTTCAGGGGCGTCACCAGTAGAGGCTGTCTCTTCTCCGTTCTATCCAAACAGAGCCTCCCAGGGGGCTCACAGGTCCTACTGGAAGCCCCCATTCCCAGACTTCCTCCCAGCTTTCTACTACAGAATGAGGCCAATACAAAAAGAGAAACAAGAGGAAAAAGATAGCTTCCAGATTTGATCCTGGATCCACCTGTGCCTGAAGATCATATGTGCCTGGAGTTTTAAGTATATGATTCTGTAAAAAAAAAAAATGCTCCTTTTTGCTTAAGCTACTTTGGTTGCATTTCTTGCCATTCCCACTGTGTGACTGCTAGTATTAATTCCTGAGAACCATTTGAGATGATATCACAGTAGAAAGCAATTGGTATTCTCATTGCATCCGTGTCTCTGGAAATCATGGAACTAGTATTTATTGTCCTGCCAGCGTTACAATCATAAAAATGAGCAAGATAAACAGGGTGCTTCTCTTTGATAGCACAATAATGACTAATTAAGTGTTTTCAGAAACATTAACTTTTACTCTACTTCTTCCAAAACGTCCTTTTCTCTGGAGATCTGAAACATCTTCTCTTTGTAGATGTGTATCTTAAAACAAAATACACCACATCCATTGTAATACAAGGATATAACCTAAAATGCAAAGCAGGAAACTTAGTGGCGAAAGTTTTCATTTATTTTCAATAAAGGAAATCCCAGGCCTCCATTTGTTGTTTATGAAATCTTCCCGGGGCAGGAGGATTTTTCAGTGCAATGAAATTAATGGTTTCAGGATTGGAGGACATTCACTCATTCTGCTATATGATTTTTTGGCCCTTCTCTTCTCCATTTGCCTATGATGATGTAATTTGTCTCCTGATAATGGATGGGCTTCCTCTCTCTTTTCAATCACTGGCGTGAGGTGCTGAAACTTGCCTGAGACGTGTCCAAGGTTCACCTGCTTGGGGGATTTTTTCTTTTTTTTTGATGGTTGATGAATGTAAATTTATAGTCACGATGCAAGTGCAAGAGTATGTGTGCATGCTTTGTGCTTAAAATGTATGCAGTGGCCTTTTAATGGTATAATATACTGTCAGGTGACAGTTGCTATGGAAACAATAACCAAATTCTCTGACCTTTGAGGGTAGGGAGATGCAGTGGTAAGGGCTGTGATCAAAGCTGAGGATTGCTGAGAGAATTAAAGTAAAGAATAAAAAGTAAGGGGCTCTTTATACCTTAATGTTCAGATCAGAGCAATCTGTTCTTCCTCTGTGTCCACCGACAGTATCCATCAGAGTGAGACTGAAGACTTTCTAGTATTCCTTTAGTTATTATTTTATGTTGTTTATCTTGGATCCTGGCTGAGTGGGAATTTTTGGAGTTCTTGATTATAGTTGGTTTGTAATTTTTTACATTGTATAAAATCGTGCTTTCTGGTAATGGGACACCTAGATCCAGATCAGTGTCCACACAATACCATGTTACCACTGTAATGTGCCAAGGCATGCTTTTGTTCGGAATGTACCAAGTTGATTAGTCAAAGGAATACACTCTCTGTTCAGAAGAGATCATTTTCTAGGGGCTCTGTGACCAATGGGGAGTTTCTCTGTGGCTTCCTATACAGTGTTATCCTTTTGTATTATTAAGATTTAGAAGATGTGCCAAATGAGAAGTTCATGTCTCTGGGTTTATTCTGTTCATACTACATGCCAGGGGAATGTGAGGGAAGTGTGGAATGTGAGGAGGGGACTCATCACCCTAATTGCTTCAGGAGGATCTTCTATGCCCAATAAAGTGTTAAATTCTGTGGGTGCGTGCATGAATAGGAAATGATTCCTGCCCTCTAGAACTCACTTGGTCACACGAGGAGAGACTATATGCAGACTGCATATTGAGTAGGGGCACCGCAGGAGCAAAGCCAGCAACCGCAGCCAAATATAAAAGGAAGTGAGTCCAATGGGATGGGTGGAAAAGAAGCTGAAGGGAAAGCATAACTTGAGACGGGACCCAAAGGAAGGGCAGACCTAGATAAAGAGGAGAGACTAGGATCGGTGTTAGTAAACTTCAGGACTTGTAAACACACTGAATGCATTTTTTTGTATGTGTCAGATATTATATTAATATAGAGATAGGGTCAAGCAAGTGGTGTGAGCAAAGATACAGATGGGGCATGATCTAGTGGTCCAGGGACATTGAGTAGTTTGGTTACGTTGGGGAAACAGAGGATTTTACTAGGCATTCTGTAGGAATGAAGATGGCTCAGAGATGCATGGGGGATGGTGAAGGGATGGGTTAGAAAATCTGGGATTCTGTAGATACCAGATGACTTTAGAGTCTAATCCTGGTTACCTTAAAACATTTTAGGGCAAGGTGAAGAATCTAGAATGGTAAGAAATAGAGTAAATTGCCACCTACTGCTTCAAGAGAAGTGGTCAGTCAGTAAATGCAAATTGAAAACGGTTGCAAATAAAACCCATGCAAGACCAATCCCCCCAAAACCCTTTGGAATTGCAGCTGGTATTTGTGATGTTGCTGGCTGCCATTGAACTCTTCCACAGCTCCTTCATCAGGACTTTTATCCCTGGGTTATTGTCACTTTTAACCTTGTCAATATGAGTATGACTTTAAAAGAAGAGGCTATAAACACCTACTTTTTTCCTACGATATTACATGAAGTATGTACAATATGTTGGGTATTTTTTCCCAGTATGGAGCATTGAGTGAGTTCCCGACAGATATTTTTCGTCTTGAGAAAGTGACCCACTTTGATATTGTATAGGTAATTACTTGATTATCTCTAAGCCTCCCAATACTCATCAGTAAGATTGTGAAGATGGATTAAGCATTCTCAACTCTGAGGGTTTTTGTTTTTTAAACAAAATAGGTAACTTGTGTCTCTAAGCTAAGTTAATACACACTACTGCTTCCCATGCAGAGTGAGAACAAATGCCTTTGATACAAGGTAGAAGAATATCACACAGGTTGTGTTTGTGGGTGTGTGTTTTTGAAATCAAGTGCATTGTAAAAATGGATAGTCTTACAGTATTTCTGCTTCTTTCTTCCTTTCCTTCTTTTCTTTTTCTTTCTTTTTCTTTTGTTTCCAAAAGGACCTTCTCAAGAAATGCTACTCTGCCAAGGCGTCTTACCTCTTCCAGCAGGATAAATTCTATGATGTCAGCTATGACACAGGAGACAAGTCTATCCAATGCAGCAGGAGACCAGATGCATTCAAGTTCTGGATGACTTGGAAGGCCCTGGGAACGTTAGGCCTTGAAGAAAGAGTGAATCGTGCACTTGCTTTATCTAGGTACTTGCCTCTGTGTGTGTGTGTGTACGTGTGTGCGCACATGTCTGTAATAGAAAGACTCCATGGAAATAACATTTGCAAGGTCTGTACATGGTCTCTCTTCTGTGCATTTCTTCTTTCATATAATGAGCATCTTCTCAGTACCTACTAAGTGTTAGGAATTGTGAACAAAGCAGCTCTACCCATGCCCTCCAGGGTCCCAGCCCAGTAAGAGATAACATTTCAGTGACAAAGCTGATCAAGTACAGGTGAACCTACTTTTTGGTAAGGGGAGGTACATGGTGCTCCAGAAGCACTCAGGTGGCTTCCCTTGGGTTCTTGAGGGGCTTTGGCAGAGGCTTCCTGGAGGATGTGACATTTAACTAAGACCCAGAGAAGAAAGGGAAGGAGAATGGTGCAGGCAGAAGGAGCACCAAGCCCAGATCATGGTGACTTTAAAGACCTGATCAGCAGGTCTGTGAGAACGCGTGGCTGGAATAGAGGCAAGAAGGTAAAGGTTAATGTGAAAGTGCCGGAGTTACCTGTCTTGTTGTAACGTTAGGGACTAAGCTTTTGAAGACACTTTCAAAGACATTAGACAAGCTCTTGAGAGACAGGTGGTGGACATTGGCCGGTGGGCGGGCCACAGCCAAATTTAGTTATAAATGTGATTGGTTGAGCCCGAACTGCATAAGCTTAATCTTCTTGGTGTTAAAAAAATCCAAACATTTAAAGACTTAAAATATTTAAAAATAGGGTGATTTGTCAAAAATCTGGATTTTTGGCTTCTCTCGAAGGATCTGAATGCTCTCGATCCCACATGGTGACAAGCCACTGAATGTGTTGATGCCTGTCTAGAGAACCACATTCCCTCTACTTCCTTCTGTGTTTTTGTAGACAGTCTGGACTCAAAACCTAGGCCTACCATGTAGGCCTACCACCTACAAGCTAGGTGGCCTGGGCAGGTTCCTTCACCTCTCTGTGCCTCAGTTTGCCCCAGTAAAAGGGAGATAACAGTGATATGTGGTTCAAATAGTTATTGTGAGGATTAAATGAATTGACACATGTTAAACCCTTAGAACGGTGCCTGGCATAAGTTACATGTTGTATGAGTTTTAGTTACTTATACCTGCTTGACCACTAAAGGCATCAGAGTTCGTGCTCTCTGGCTTGGATAATCTCTCCTTCATACTTCTTGCTCACATTTCACTTGCCAAATCCAGAAGTCTCACTTAGAGATTTAAAACTTTCCTGTATCTTTTTCTAAAAAAAAAAAAATTATTTGTGAGAAACACAGAGAGAGACAGAGTGAGCTGGGTGGGGGGGGGGGGGTTGGGGGCAGAAAGAGAGGGAGGCACAGAATCTGAAACAGGTTCTAGGCTTCAAGATGATGGCTCAGAGCCTGTCATGGGGCTCAAACCCATATACTGTGAGATCATGACCTGAGCTGAAGTGGGACACTTCACTGCCTGAGCCACCTGGGTGCCCAACAGTTTCCTCTTTCTATACTGGGAGTTATATGGGTGCTCTGTGCAACAGCTGTTTGAAAACTCAGTGTCTTAAAACAGCAATTATTTTTTAAAGTTTATTTTTACTTATTTTGAGAGAGAGAGAGAGAGAGAGAGCAGGAGACAGAGAGAGAGGGAGACAGAATCCCAAGTAGACTTTGTCCGATTATCAGCACGGAGCCCCATGTGGGGCTTGAACTCACAAACCATGAAATCCTGACCTGAGAGTCAGAGGCTTAGCCGACTGAGCCCCTCAGATGCCCCCAAACAGCAGTTATTTATTCTCACTATCTGCAAGTTGGCTGGAGAGGCTTTATCTTGTACTATGGTGGCTGTGGGGGTTGGTGGAGGGTCTAAGTCTACTCCCTACGTGGCTTGCATCTTATTTAGATTAACAGATGAGCCAGAGTGTGTTCAGAGTGTCATCTGATGAAGATGACAGAAGACCAAGAAGGCAAGCCCCATTATACAAGCTGACTCTGAAGTCCCATTTATATCATATCTATTGGCATTCCAATGGCCAAAGCAAATCACATGGCCAAGCTCGATGTTGAGAGGCAGGGAATACAATCTGCCTTTTAGCAGGAAGAACTGAAAATTTACATGGTGTTGACCTTGAAAATAAAACAGCCAGTTTTTTGGTTTTTTGTTTTTTTAACCAGCAAAATGATTTCTTTGGGAATGGCAGAGAAATTGCAATTCAGGACATGCAAACTATGACAAAAGCTAGGCAAGTTTGGAGAACAAAGGAGAAGAGTTTGCTTATATAGAGGAAAGGAGGAAATTGAGAGGGGTTGCTTTGGACAGGATTCCATTGGAGGAGATAGGAAATGATGGTTTCTTATTGGCTGAGTAGTATGGCTTCTCATTGGCTGGGGCTCTTTCTGGACAAGGAGAAAATCTTCCTCCCATTTGCTGTGGTAGTAGAATTGACTTCTTCCTTTTGGAAAATGCAAGGTAGCCTTTCTTTGTTGAAGTCTTCATCTGATGTCCAGTTTGCAGGGCATGAGAACTCTGTCTGCAGGGAGTGCTGACTCTACTTCAAATGAGATTTCCTTTATACTTTTTCATTATGGCGTGGTTATAAGGACAGATAAAGAGATGGCTTTGGCACTTTCAGAAGATTGTGAGAAGTCAGCAAATCTAGTGATTAAGGTTTAAGAAGTAGTTTGAAAATCTGTAAGTATTGTATCATTTAGGACTCTTTTGGTGGTAAGCAACAGAAACCATAAATCAAGATATTATAAACAAAGAAAGGTAATTTGTTATCTCATGCACCTTATAAACTGTATAATGATGACTTCTGGAATGACTTTATCTAGGGGCTTAAACAAAGTCACCTTCATCTTTCTCCATCTTTAAGGTTTGCTGTCTTTTATGTTGGTTTATTCCTATGTTGGAAGGTGGCTGCCAGGAGTGTAAGATCTCTGTGCTCCCTGGTTCAAGTTCAAGGTCAAAAGGAGAGTGTGCTACTCTCTCAGCAATCCCAAAGGAAGTTTTATCTATATTTGAATGAAGCAAATGTCCATCTCTAATCAGTCACTGTAGTCGGGGGAATGTGATACTCTCACTGGTCATGCCCTCCTTTGGCACTGGGGAGGCATCGATTCCTTCTATAGTATATATGCTGACACTAGGTGAGGAATATGTCTTTATGAGAAGTAGGGTTAGGGGCACCTGGGTGGCTCAATTGATTAAATGTCTGACTCTTGACTTCAGCTCACATCATGATCTCATGGTTCATGAGTTTGAGCTCCACATCAGGCTCTGTGCTAACAGTGTGGAGTCTGCTTGGGATTCTCTCTCTGCTCTCCCCTGCTCATGGTCTCTCAAAATAAGCAAATGTTAAAAAACAGAAGTAGGGTTAATGTTCCTCTATCAGAATTAGTGAGATGACTACCAAACAGTGAAAAAAATGAAACTAACATAAATATATTCATAGTTTCTGTTCAATTAAAAGTTCAGAAAGCTCTGTTCCTTTTTTTTTTTTTTTGTATTTTCTCAACAAAAGTGTGGTAGAATTTCTGCATTCTTCTATCTAAGCTGCTAAGGAATTCATTGACAGGTGTCTTGAAAGAAGGCTAGATATAAATATTTGATGATCGTATTTGTTATAAAGTTAACATTCATCTCAGGGTGGAATTTAATTTATAGTCTAAGGATACTTTCTAATTTTTGCAGAGAAATATCACAGGAGGATAAATGTTAACACTTCAATTCAATTCAACAAACACTTATTGTTTGTAAATGTTTGTCAAGTTGAATTGAATCGAATTAACATTTCAGTGAGCATCAATGCAGACTCTGTGACCTGTATCTAAATATTTGAAAAATAACCCTTCTATCATGCTGCTACTCATCATAGTTTTTCCTTTTTTTTTTTTTTTTTTGCCTGAACTTTCCACATTCTTCATAAATCCAACCCTCTATTCCTGGGGTGGGCAAAAGTCATTGCATTATACCCCCAATGCCAAGCAAACGCTGAGTCCTTTTATTTTTATTTCATTTTTCACTGACTCCTTTTAGACATTGCGCTTGGAATGAATTATAAATTATAAACTTGGAGAGTTTCTCTAGGGTTAAGAATTATATTGGGGCACCTGGGTGGCTCAGTCAGGTGAGCATTTGACTTCAGCTCAGGTAATGATCTCACAGTCCATGAGTTCAAGCCCCATGTCGGGCTTTGTGCTCAGAGCCTGGAGCCTGTTTCGGATTCTGAGTCTCCCTCTCTGTCTTTGTCCCCTCCCCTGCTCATGCTCTGTCTGTCTCTTTCAAAAGTAAATTCAAAAATTTTCTTATTAAAAAAATTATATTAAGTTGGCAACACCAGTCTTTATTTTTATCATTTTACTTGTGTTCAAGTTGGCTAATGGGTTTATGGTTCTGCTCTTTCGGAAAGGAGGAACTTTATCTCAGTTCTGGGGTCTGTTCTGTTTGAGCCTATGTACAGTGGGTGCTGGTAAACTGGCTCTCAGGAGGAGGAAACAAAAACCTCAGTTTGCAATCACTGGCAGTTCCCACGGTGTTAACATTACCGTTGTGTAAAATTGCAAGCAGTCAGCAATTCCTGAATATTTAACAACTGGCTCTTAATAACCAGTCCATCCTAGCTCTAGAATATCATCGATTAAGTGAGCCAATGTAATCAGTTCAAACCACTGACTTTTGAGAGTTAAAACATCATTTCTGACCAAACTCACTGACACTAGGCCACTTGCTTTAGAGTTTACCTAATAAAAATTATTCTTACCCATGTCCAGAGGGCTATACCTGTGGAATAATTTCTCTAATTTCAGAATAACATTGTTTTGTTTCTAAGTACTGTTTCCCTCAGCAGGTAAGAATTAGCAAAGGAAAGTTGCCAATGAGGATTGTGTTCCTATTTGGCATGCATACCTATTCTCAGTAGCCTGATATAGTCAAGATTCCCATTTCCTTAGATCCTTGGTCTGGTCTCTCAAATACTGGCAAGGCCAGGCAACTCTCCTCCCCTGACATTGAGGAGAGACTACT